TTTTGTTTTTAAATTTAAAAAACATTTTTTTGTGTTTAATAAGCTTTAAATTTTTTTAATTAATATTTTACTTTTTAAATGCATTCAAAAAAATAAAAAATGATTAAACTATAAATTTTTTATTAAAGAAAAAAAAAATACCAAAATCAAAAAGTAATGCTAGTGACACTTAAAGTTTTACTAAAATTTTTACTAATGTGTGTGGGACTCACACTATATGGGTCCAATGGGGGTATGGAACTCACACATCTATCAAATGTCTCACGTAAGTATAGGACCCACATCTCACCATATGGGTCCTACGTGGGTGTAGGACTCACACGTCTATCAAATGCCTCACATACCACCATATGGGTCCAATGTGGATGTGTGACTCACACGTCCATCAAATGTTTCACATAGGTGTGGAACTTATATATAGTGGTCCTATGTGTGTGTGGGATTTACACGTACATCAAATGCCTCACATAGGTGTGGGACTCACACCCATATGAGATATTTGATAGAAAATTTGGTAAAATTTTTGTGGACCCTAATATTTTTCAAAAAATTAAAAATAATTTTTAAAAACTAAACCACATAATCAAGTATTTTCTGACAGTAGTAGTGGGTTGATAGATTTACATATAGGTAGTTGTGTACGCAGTACGGTTGATGGCTTGAGAGTAAAATTATAAACCAACCCGTAAATAGCAAATTGGCAAATATCCAAATCACTGTTTGGATGGTTTTGGGAGGTTTCAGTTTGTTAGTTGATTGAAGAATATTTTTAAATAATTATCAAGAATTTACGTAATATATAATACTAATTTGTATAATATTTTTCATATATATAACACAAACTAATTTTACATACAAATCACTGTTTGGATGGTTTTGGGAGGTTTCAGTTTGCTAGTTGATTGAAGAATATTTTTAAATAATTATCAAGAATTTACATAATATATAACAAATATCTCTTTCATTTTTATTTTGATATTTTATTAGAGGTTATATATATATATATATATATTAGAGTAGAGCAGTTCGGTTTTGAAGGTGAATTATAAATTTTAAAATTTAATCTGTGGTTAATGGATAGATTGGTGTCGATCAATGTGGTTTTAGCGGATTGTACAGTATTTACATAGCTCTACCTATAGGTAAACATTGTGTCAAATTTGGCACAAGTATAGCTATGCTAAAATATGGTAAGCCAAACAACAAATCGTTGGGGAGCAAAAATTTGAACTCCACGATATTTTATAGCAATAGCATGCCAAATAATAAGCCATTGGAGATGCTTTTAATGGAATAATTTTATAATAGAAAATTTAGGGATCTAGATTTTCAATTTTAGATTTATTTCAAGAATAGGAATGTATAATAGAGATTAAAAATGTGTATTGTAGGGTTTATATAAAATAAATTTGAATCACATATTAATATTTCTGAATAATTTTTAAATAAAATTTTGAGAAAATTGTTGAAAAGTCCAATTTAATAATATTATTGGTCTAGTGGATATTTTTTGTTAGTGAGAGGTCTACCCTTTATAAAATAGTTTGGTGAGAAATCCATTTATTATTTTGGAGGACATTTTGTTTCCAATTTTATCCCTTAATCTATCTATTGATTTTTTAACTATCTGTTTGAGTATTTATCTATCTGTTCAAATTTTTGACTATATATATGTTTAATTTTTTTGACTATCTGTTTAATTTTGTATCTATTTGTTTAATTTTTCTCCTCAATCTGTTCATTTTTTCTCTTATTTGTTGAAATATCTGTCCAAATTTGTATATATCTATTCAATTTTTCCTTTATCTGTTTAAATCAATCTCTTCTTATCTGTGTTGAATCTGTCTGTACAAATCCCAAAATCCTCTATTTGTTTAATCCAAAAATCCCTTATTCTCTAGATTTGTTCAATTTTTTATGTTAAATACATCATATATGCATACAAATATAGAACCAAATATGCAAACCCATTATTTGTTGAAAAAACAACAAATATGTGTGTATAAATCAAAGACGTGAAAGATCTCAAGAGAGAGATGAAGGATAGATCATCAATCAATCAACAACAACAACAACAACAATAACAACAATAAACAACAACAAATAAATAAATGCTCAGATCAGTGACTAGATCTGTGATCTCCTTTAATATAAGAAAAATGAAAAGTACAATGATGATCATAATAATGAAACCGAATGCAATTTGTGACCTTGTCTGAGAAATCTTTGACGCAAAACGTTATTATCAGAGCCATCTGAAAACTTATTAGGGCTCAATTTCCCCAATTTATTGAAGAAATAACATACGTAAGATGCACTTTGCCGAAACAAGTCATGGCGCCAGAGACAGAACTCCATGATCAGAATGTGAATATTCACTTAGCGCTGCAGATGGAGAATCTGACGATTAAATCGGCGCTAGAAATGGAATTCCATGATTAAAATGGCTATTGAATCGGTGAAGTAACTTGGCGAGAAAGCTAGGGCATTGGCGAGGTGATTCAAAATCTGAACCTTCGCTGAAGAATTAGTGAGTGCACATATGATATGCGAAATAGAGAGCACAACAATCTACCGATTGGTTGGTCACTCGTACCTTCTCCATAGCGTGCAATGTAGTGTCGCTAGCTCTAATGATGACAAGATCGGAATTGAGAGAGAGAGAGAGAGAGAGAGAGACGAATGATGAGGGAGAAGAAAGAAGATAGAGAGAGAGACATGATGAAGAAGGAAAGATGCGGGTTATTATGGTTTGGAAATAAGGTGATACAATATATATATATATATATATATAAGTTGGTATTTTGGTCATTTTGTCTAAACATGTCCTTGTGGGCAAAGTATTTTAGAGTGTGGACTTTTGGCCAAATAAAATGTAAATTTGAATTTATGGATCGAGTGTCCTAAAATTTTTGAATTTATAGTTTTATAGTATCACTAATTTTATAGTACACAACACACCTCAGTAAAGGGTGTATGCTATATATACTAAATATATGATTGATAGTGTTATGTCATTTGATAAAAATACCTTGAAATGGTTCAAGCTGAAAGAACAGCGGCGAACCCTTTTAGTTGTTGTGGTTTTTTATTTTTTAAGGTCGTGCCTCATGGCCGAGGTGTTGGCCGAGGTGCCACATGGACGAGCTAGATTTTTGAAATGATTACGGTGTTGCCGAGATATGGTACGATAACACTGGAATTTGAGAAATTTGGATAGAGGACAAGAGTTTTAGATAAGTGAGGTGCTTAGTTCGAATAGGGATGAGACTCTTGTGGAGTTCATCCATATCTAATTAAGAGTCTAAGATAAACATTGTGCTTGAGTCCTAGGAAGTGAGACTTCTAGGGGACGAGGGCACTATATGATATAAAAGTAAGGCACCCCCGTAGGTCTAAGGTATACTTTTATTTGTGTATTGAGTACTTGTTTGATATCCTTGAGAGATAAGACTGACTGACTTGATCGTTAGAGTGCCCCCGGGTGGATGAGCCACTGTGGTACTCTTATCTTTTTTGTTGATAGGTGCTTGGTTTAATCTATTTCGCCCCATGCTCTCCAGCTAAGTCCCCTGTTTGGTTGTGAGGTCAAAAATCAACACCCACAATTTGGTGCTGTCTATGGAAACTTAGTAAGAATAGATGGCCAATGCCAGATAAGAAGTGAGAGTTGGGGACAACATGTACAGTGAGGAAGAGGAGTATGTAGAACCCAACACTAGGGTGGGAAACCATGACGAAGAGGTGCAGAAAGTGAACCCTAAGGCCAGCAACGTTGCAAGAGGGCGTAATGGCCCGACAAGAGGGAATTAGGAAGAATACTACAACCAAAGCGAATCCTAGGTATGGAATGAAAGATGCCTGAGGAGAGATGACGAGCTGAAGGACTTAGCGAACAAGTTGACTGATCTGCAGACCGTGGTAAATTTCATGATGCAAAACAAGGTGATATAGTCGGCATTGCTTTTACCAGAGACGTTGACTTCGGTAAGAAACACCAACACTCGGAAAGAAGGGTTGGCTACAATACCAACAGTCTCCCAGTATAAGAAGAGACTAAAGAATTCACATCGGCGATCCCAGAATGTCGGGCGAACAGAATCCGATGAAATGAGTCTTGTAGAACCCCGAGGACCAAGGGAACCCAAATTAGGGGATCTCGACAGGTCAACGGACAAGGCCTCTGTTTTAATGACGTAGCAGATTTAGAGGTGTCCAGGAAGACCTATCCCAACATGGGAAGCAGCACTCCGAAAAGGCTGAAGTCGACTGATAGCCGAGCTCCTGGACGGGTGAAGGAAGACTTATAAGATTACCTGCAAAGGAAGAGGTAGGACATCAAGATCACGTCCAATGCCTAGTCAAAGACACTATTCTTGGTGGAATTGGATGCGTTCGAGGCATCGAAGAGATTCAGCAGACCAAGGTTCTAGATCTATTATGGTAAGTTAGACCCAAACTTCCATATTGGTTTATATGTAAATGCAATGGCTCTATGGAGTGAGAATGGACAGTTACCATACAAGATGTTCCCATCAATATTTTGCGAAATAGCGTTGGACGGGTTCCACAAATTGCCGAAAGGGTGTGTAAAGAGTTGGGAAGGCCTAGCCAAAATGTTTGTGGCCAGGTTCGTTACAAACAAGTTACAACCTTTGAGGGTGGATTCCCTATTGGCTTTAAAGGGACAAGGCCTCTGTTTTAATGACGTAGCAGATTTAGAGGTGTCCAGGAAGACCTATCCCAACATGGGAAGCAGCACTCCGAAAAGGCTGAAGTCGACTGATAGCCGAGCTCCTGGACGGGTGAAGGAAGACTTATAAGATTACCTGCAAAGGAAGAGGTAGGACATCAAGATCACGTCCAATGCCTAGTCAAAGACACTATTCTTGGTGGAATTGGATGCGTTCGAGGCATCGAAGAGATTCAGCAGACCAAGGTTCTAGATCTATGATGGTAAGTTAGACCCAAACTTCCATATTGGTTTATATGTAAATGCAATGGCTCTATGGAGTGAGAATGGGCAGTTACCATACAAGATGTTCCCATCAATATTTTGGGAAATAGCGTTGGACGGGTTCCACAAATTGCCGAAAGGGTGTGTAAAGAGTTGGGAAGGCCTAGCCAAAATATTTGTGGCCAGGTTCGTTACAAACAGATTACAACCTTTGAGGGTGGATTCCCTATTGGCTTTAAAGATAAACGATGGCGAAAGCCTTAGGGCTTACGCCAAGAGGTACTACGAGGTTTACAACCGAATCCCAGCTTGTAACTTGGAACTTGCGGTCGTTTCTTTTAAGAATGGCTCAGAAGACGATTATCTACTTCAACAATCCCTTGCAAATGCCCTTCCAAGAACATGGAGGATCTTATGGAAAGGATTGAGAAGTACGCAAGAGTGGAGGAGGTCAGGAAAGCCAGAAAGACCGACACAATAAAGCAGGAGAAGATAAATGACTCACTAAAGTGTAGCCGAGGAAATAACGGTGCTGACAAGTTGGAACCTGGATTAAAGGCTATATAGGCTGTAAGCATAGTTTTCAAGATCTTCATTTACAAGGTCATGGAAAGGATTTGAAATTAGCCCTACGTCAGGCCACCATAGAAGATCTCGGGGGAGTATATGGGTAGAAACCCTAGGAAAAGTTACGATTACCACGACGAGAATTGGTGCACGACCCTAAAACAACACCTGCAAGACTTGGTTAGACAAAGACACCTGAGAGACTTGATAGACGAAGCAAGAACACGAGGGGAACATGCGGAGTTGGCCCAGACGCTTGGAGAAGCACCTCCACCTCCTCCACCATAAGCAGATGGACCACGAGTTATCAAAGTGATCCATATGAAGGTCAACGAGAATGAGATCCGAGGAGAAACACAGAGGGTAAAACATCTGTAGCATGTCTACCAAGTCCAGCAAAAAAAGCCCCGTATAAAAGAACATCGAAGGTCGATGATATCATTCACAGAATAAGACCTAGACATGATATAACATTCGCACAACGATGCTCTAGTAGTGACTCTAAAGATCAGAGAATGCTAGGTAAGAGGCATACTGATAGATCAAGGCAACTCCTGTGATATCATGTATGTTAGATGCTACAAAGTGTTTGGTCTCCATAAGGACAATTTGGAACAATCCGACAGCCCCATGGTCGGATTTAATGAAACCCCTACATGGCCACTAGGGACCACGAACCTAAGGGTTCAGGCAGGAACCAATATGGTAATCATAGAGTTTACCATGATAGATACCCCCTCCCCATACAACATTATTTTAGGAAGACCTTGGTTGCACGCTATAAGGGCTATTCCCTCAACACTGTACCTATTACTCCGGTTCCTAACAGAGTTCGGGGTTGAAGAGGTGAGGAGAGACCAATTGTAGGCAAAGAATTACTCCATGGCAAGAATGAAACACGCCTGTATTATTAGAGAAGTAAAGATGTCAGAAGTAGAAGACGAAGACAAAGTGGCCTTGGACAATGTCAGCAAAGAACCCGTCGACGAGAGCCAGGAACCCCCAAAAAAGGTTCTGGTATAAGAAGGGGATGGAGAGCAATTCTTCCTCCCGGCTCAGGCTTGGCCGAGGAAGAAGAAATAAAAATGGAAGCTTTTGTACGAGAAAACATAGAGGTGTTTGTCTGGACGCCCTACGAGATGCCGAGGATCAATCTTGAGGTCACCTGCCACAAACTCAACATGGACAGAATGGCGAAACCTGTGGTCCAAAGGGCCAAATGACCTACTTTGACCCATGTGCAAGCAGTTGAAAGAAGAGGTGGAGAAGCTGTTGGAGGCCCAGACAATCCGAGAAGCAAACTACCTAGCGTGGTGGTTCAACATAGTGGTAGTAAAGATGAAGAACTGCAAGTGGAGGGTTTGCGTAGACTTTACAAGCCTGAATAGGGCTTGCCCAAAGGACTGCTTCCCTTTGCCAAAGATAGACTAGCTTGTGGATGCCACATCTGGCCATGGAAGGATGAGATTTCTTGATGCATACTGTGGCTATCATTAGATAGCCATGCACGCTCCAGATGAAGAGAAGACATCATTTAACAGTCCAAAGGGACTCTACTGTTATAGAGTGATGCCCTTTAGATTGAAGAATGCAGGGGCAACATACCAGAGACTAGTAACAAAGAAGTTTAAGCATTTGATCGGGAAAACCGTGGAAGTTTACATCGACGACATGGTCGTGAAGAGCAGGGAACCTTTAGATCATCTAGCTGATCTGAAGGAGGTTTTTGATATACTAAGAGCACATCAGCTTCATTTGAATGCCTCAAAGTGCGCCTTCATAGTAGGATTTGGGAAATTCCTTGGATATCTGGTGACAAGAGAGGAATCGAAACAAGCCTCGATCAGATCAGGGCCATCATTAACCTAAAGAGCCCAACAACAGCAAAAGAAGTTCAAATCTTTACCGGCAAGGCAGCTACGTTGAATAGATTAATCAGTCAGAGTTTGGATAAGTGCAAACCATTTTTCTAGTTATTTAAGAAGGCCACACATATTTTCTATGGACAGATTAGTGTGAAGTCGCCCTAGCTGACTTGAAGAAGTATTTGACATCCCTATCGGTGTTGTCAAACCCGGTTCCAGGAGAGAACCTATTCCTATATTTGCCAGTCTCGGACCACGCCATTAGTACCGTGGTCATCCAAGAAGAAGAAGGAGAACAAAAGATGGTGTATTATGTAAGCAAGACCCTGGCAAGCGCAAAAATGAGGTACCTACCTCTAGAAAAACTAACACTCACCCTGGTATTGGAATCAAAGAAATTGAACCATTACTTTTAAGCTCACAAGATGGTGGCGCTCACGGAGCATCCGTTGAAGTCCCTATTGCAACATGGGGACTTGACAGGCAGAGTAGTGCGATGGGTTGTGGTTCTATTGGGAAAGTTACTGCCCAATCTTGAGGTTCTCAAATTATCTGGAATTTATGAGTGGGAATGGGCTTGTGATGCAAGCGAGGTTTTTCCTAGACTTAAAATTTTAAAATTAGAGGGCCAGTGATTGGGAGTTGGCAAGTTTCTGGCAATTACTTTCCTAGCCTTCAGCGATAAGTGCTTTCTGGATTTCAAGACCTTGTTATCCCATCTGAAATAGGGGATACACCCACACTTCAGATAATTGAGGTGCGTCGGTGCTACCATTCTGTTGTGAAATATGCTAGGGAAATTAAAGAAGAACAAAACAACATGCGAAATAATTGGATGCAAATTATTGAATCTGATAATGTGCTAGAGTGGTAAGCATATTAACACAATCAAATTTATCCGCTTGTCCTTTAATTTTCTAATTTATTTTGTTATCCTTTTATTTATTTATTTTTCTCACAAACCAAAATGTTAGGGAAAAAAAAAAACCAAGACCCTCACGATACCCAAATAATGAGAGATTTTTAAGAAATATAATCTTTAAAAAGATTGAAACAAGCTTATGAACTTGCCCACATTTAAATAGCTATAAACACAACACAAAGGATTACTTCTTTGGAAGAAAGCAAGCATTTTTTAACACTTTGTTTGTCTAGGCGGAAAATATTTTTTGGGCATTTGGTACAATAGAAAATAAAAATCAACGGAAAACATTTTATGTGATTAATGAAAAACAAGCCTATTTGGGCAGAAAATATTTTTCATATTTAGAAAGTGGAAAACATTTCCCGAATCAAAGTTTTATCAGTGTCGTTACATTACCACCACTACTATCACCTCCACCACCACCACCACCACTGCCATAACCACCATCACCATCATTGCTGCCACCATCGCCACAACCATCTTTACCTCATTGGTATCACCACTACCACACCACTATCGCCACCACTACCATGACTACCACTGCCACACCACTACCACCCCCACCACCCCCACCACCCCTAACACTTCCACTTCTACCTCTACCCTACCACCAACACTACCACTACCACTATACCACCAACACTACCACTACCACTAATGTAACTTTATTTACATTAAGGCCTCGTTTGGCAACATCACTTTTTAGCTTAAAAGCTAAAAAGTTATTAAAAAAATCAAAAAACCAACAACATATATCATAAAGTCAAATATTCTTTTTCTCTCTATTTTTTGTACATTTTTTCGTAAAAAATCAAAAAGTCATTCTAAACATACTAATTTTTTTATATCATATTTTAGCCAAAAGTCAAAAAGTTACTAAAAAAACCTATTCCCAAACGAGGCCTAACTTCAAGAATACAATCAAATATAAGAAAACGTTTTCTATAGAAAATATTTTCCACCGAAATAAATAGAGCGTATGTTTTTATTTTTTATTTTTTTGTGGGCCACCAAATTGATGTTGCTGCACCTAATTTTATATGTGAATTTCATTTTTATTTTACAGATTTATATATGGGTTCGAGGAAATAATATGAAAGTACTTGAGGCACTTCCTCTTCTTTACTGCTATTTTTCACTTCATGGGCAAAGATACTGCATAGAGGGCTGTAGCAGAACAGAGCGGAGCAGACAAACTCACATTTATGAATCACTTAAGTTGAATTTAGATTATAGATTTTGGTAGAAATTTGGATTGGAAAAGAAAACAATAGGTAAAATATAGTATATTTCATCCACGTTGCACATATTTTTCCCTTCATTTTTTAAATCTATATTCAAATTCATAATTCAAACATAGCCCTATAACTTTGCTGTATATTCATTCTTTGTTAAAACCTAAATTTGTAACTTTTCATTGTGTTGGGGATAAATCCCACCTTACAAACTCTTATACCCATGTTGAAATATAAATCCATGTGACAAAATTTACGGGGCAGAGAGGTAAATCCGTGGTGTATAACAGAGAGTACAGTGACTAGATGAAAATACACTCAATATTTGAGACATCTACTCAAGAGTAATAGAGTAGCCCTAAATCCCAGGCTCATGGTTATTTTACATCTACACTGCTCTCCAGCACACACCCATTTTAGCATCCATAGCTCCTACTCTCTCACTCTCAAGAAAAATAAACTTTAATTTAATATTTATTTGATCACTTAACATTGACAAAAAATCCTAAGAGAGTTATCAAAAATTGTGGTAGATCTCATTTCATTAAAACAATAAGATTTGTTAATATGATTGTTGTTGATGTTGTTCTCATTAGGATGTGTAACATGTTAATCTGGCAGCATTTACTATGAGATTTTTCTAAACAAAATCACCCTATTTGGTTAAAAAAAAATTTAAAACTACATTTGATTAAAATTGTTTGAAAAAATAAAAATCAATCTGACAAAAATAAACTAAAAAATAAAATTTATATGAAAATAATAAATGATGATAGTATATGTCAATGTTGATGATGGCAATTGTTGTGAAGTTAGCACTACAATAAATCGAAACTTACAAACAAAAATCAAAATTTTCCAACCATTTATCACTTTGATAAATTTTTTA